TACATATTACGAACGATTGAAAATAAATGGGAAATGCCAGCGAAGTAAAAGGTAAGGCGTGATTATTATTATTATTATTATTATTATTATTATTATTATTATTATTATTATATTCTCTCTCCGAGAGAAAAGGTTATGTAATTGATGCTCATTGATATTTTGTTTTGTTTTCTTGTTTTTATTGTTTTTCACTTTGTTATGATTCCTGTTGTTGAGGTTATTATCATTGTATTATTATTATTATTATTATTATTGTTATTATTATTATTATTATTATCAGTATTGTTGCTATATTATTATTGTTATTATTATTATTATTATTATTATTATTATTATTATTGTTATTATATAGTATCATCGTCATCATCATCATCATAATCATCATCAGTAATAATTATTATTATTATAATTATCATTGTTATTATTATTAGTAGTAGTAGTAGTAGTAGTAGTAGTAGCAGTGATACTAATAGTATCATTATTATAATTACTATTATAATTCTTATTATTGTTATTATCATCATTATTATTATTGTTATTGTTATTATCATCATCATTATCATTATTACTATCATTATCATTGTCATTAGTGTTATTGTTTTTTTTTATTATTACCATTACTATTGTTATTTATGATATTATTGTTATTATAATTGCCCTTGTTGTTGTAGGCTGTCATTTATCAATCCTACAGCTAGTACTACTGGTATAACTTTTATCATTATCATCACGATCAACACCATCACCACCACCGCGACTCTGGACAAAGTTCTCATCACTTTCACCTACCACCACCACGTCACTTAACATCCCTTAGCTCGCCACTTCACCTTCACTCTCCCCCCCCCACACACACACCAAGTCATTAACGAGAACCTCCGCCCCCCACTCATTCCCCCGCCCGTAAGTGAGGAGACCGAGGGTGGAGGCCGAGTGCGGAGGCTGAGGTTGGAGGTCGAGGGCGGAGGCTGAGGTTGGAGGCCAAGGGCGGAGGCTGAGGTTGGAGGCCGAGTGCTGAGGCGGAGGTTAGAAAGCGAGGGTGCAGGTTGAGGGTAGCTACCGAGTACCGAAGGCGAAAGCCGGGTGCCGAGACCGAGGGCGGAAGTGGTGCGAGCGAGACCGAGTGCGAAGACTGAGGGCTGAGTGCCGAGACTGAGGGCGGAGGCCGAGTGCCGAGGCCGAGGGCGGGGGCCGAGTGCGGAGTGTGCAACTTCTCTTGTCTCAGGATATTGCCAATATTCGCGCTGCATCTGCCTCCGCCGCCGTCACGACCCGCCACCAAGGGCCAAGATTACATGCCGTGCCTCCCCGTTGTCGCCCTTATGGGGGGGCCCGGGAGCCGCTACCAACGCCGTCTCTTCCTCATCCTCCTCTTCCCTCTTCACCGCTTCTTCCTCTTCCTTTGCTCTCCTCGTATTGCTCTTCCCTTTTTTCATTCTCCTTGTTATCCTTCCCGCGTTTCTGTCCTTTCGTCGGACAGCAATTATTCGTCTATCTCCGCCTCTCCCTCTTTTTTCCCTTTCTTTTCCCACGCTCCCTTCCCCTCTGTTTCTACATTTCTTTTTCTTTTGTTTTCTTTCGTATATTCTAATCCATCCCCTTACCTGTTATTCCCCTCTCCCTTCACAGTATATTCCTTATACCCTCTTCATCCTCATATTCAGTTTCATCTTCACATTTACCATCGCCTTCACCCTCTTCATTATCATCAACATAAATATCATCATCATTATCACTATCCACTTCCACCACCACTATCACCATCTTCACCACCATCATTCACAACCACCATGATATCCACCATCATCCTCCGCCTCCTCCTCCTCCTCCTCCTCCTCCTCCGCCTCCTCCTCCTCCTCCTCCTCCTCCTCCTCCTCCTCCTCCTCCTCCACCTCCACTCCCTCCACCTCCACTCCCTCCACGCACCCTATGCGTCTCCCTCCCTGGCGTTTCAAGTAATTTCCTGACGCAGGTCTTCAGATTTCCCGGTAATTGGAGATAATTCAGCCTTTCTGCCGAGGCCATGAGGGAAGAGGCATGAGTAAAAGAGGAGTGGAGGAGGAAGAGGAGGGGAGGAAATGGCTAAGAGGGGAAGAGGCAAAAAGAGAGAAGAAGGGAAGAAATGTGAGTAAGGGAAGGCGGAATGAAGGAGGGATGGGAAGTGGGTAAAAATACGAAGGGAGGTGGGAGGGAGGGAAGGAAATGAGCGAGAGTAGGAAGGGAAGGGAGAGGCGTGAGTAAGAAAGTGGGAAATAAGGAGGGAGAGGATTAAATGAGAAAGAGAAGGGCAGTGAGAGAAGAAGGTCTGTGTAAAAGATGAGGAAAAATGGGGGGAAGAAGGGAGGGAAAGAAACGAGTAAGAGAGAAGGATAGGAGACAGGTTGAAGAAAAAGGAAAAGAAACGAATAGTAGGAACGGCAAAATGAGGATAAAAAGTGAGAGAGGGCGGAGGGAGGATGGGGGGGCGGGCAAAGGGTAAGGCAAAGGAAGCTTAAATATG